CTCCCACTGAAGTAACTGAGCTGTTAGTATAAGGCGTCGAAGAAGGATAAGACCTAGAATATAACGCCCGGTCATTATAGCCGTATTTGGGGTCACCAGATGCAGCGATAAGGACTGGGTGAAGAGGGTAGCTGTTGTCACTGGTGTTCTGAGGATTTGTCTGTGCAGTAAATCCCTAGGCAGGCGGCAAAAGCCGCAACTTGAAAACAGTGTGCACCGGGCACCATAAATGACCCCTTTGTGTCTATTCTGTTCCTTGTGGGACGCGGGAGAGGAAAGGGGAAAGTTGGTGCGTTAATAAACGCACATCTGAATCGAATATTACGGTCAGACAACCAGGCAACATACATCATAGGCAAACAGAAGAATCAGATATGTGCACATGTGACACGATTTCCTTGCAGGACTGACTTCCAGCCTTCACTCAGCTGAGAAGTGCATCATGTAAAAAAGAAAAAAAAAAGAAAAAAAAGGTGCCCCATCAAAGGAAAAAATAAAAAAATGCAGTCTATATGCAACCACACTACAAGGGGTCATTCATTTTAGTCAGCCAGGTAAGGAAGAATTCCAACATACATCCTTGTGGGCCATTGTTGGTGACAATCTGGAATCCCTCATCAAGCATTGTCGTGTTGCAACAAGCGGTGCAACATACAGCAGATGACCCAGATACCTACCTACCTACAGATGACCTACCTACCCACCTAGCTACCTACCTACCTACCTACCTACCTATCTCGACGCCAACTGAAGGCAGTTGCACTTGCGCTCCTTGACCGCCTAAGAAGATATGCACTTACGCTGGCCTGCAGCTGAGGGCGTCGGGCTATTGCAGTAGGTGGTTAGCGGTCAGGCGTTGACCAAAGAGGGTCAAGAAGTCAGAAAAAAAAAAAGAAGAAGACACCTGTGGTTCTGCGTTGACAATCGGGTGGGAGGCCATGGTGGATAGGGGAGAAGAATAGACAAGACTAGGACACTGTTCTTGAGGCGGTGTCTGGTCGTTGGATTCTAAGTGGAGGTGAGACCATGTACACTTATGGGCGACGACAATACATGTGGAAGGAGTTAAACCGCCAGTACATGGCCCCGGTCTTGCAGAAAAATGTTTGTCACGTACTCCGAAAAATTTTGCAGCTCGGGCCTACCGGACCACAATGACTAGGCGGTGCCAGCTAGAAAAGAAACGTACACCGCTGGCGTTTCAGAAAGCTTGGCGCGCAACGCAACACCTCCAGGCCCGGGAGTACTACTGGTGGGTTCAAGGAGGGTGGAGGGAGAGAAGTGGAGTTGGGTTTATCTCTATTCTACCCTGGGTTTAAGGAGGGTGCAGGGAGAGAAGTAGATTTGGGTTTATCTCTATTCTACCCTCTAACCTATGTGCCCACTCGAGTCGATTGCTGCGTGGCGATTCGAGTTCTCCTGGGCAGGTGCAGGTATGGGCGCCGGTTTGTTTCTTTTGCTGTATGCCAGCAGTTTGCCATTCATTTTTTTAGCGACCCGCTATGCACCACCAGTTCTTTTTTCTTTCTTTCTTTTTTTTCACTGGCTACCTACCTACCCTTGTATATTATGGAGACTTCCCTTTTTATCTTCTGCACTAGACCAACCACAAACCGTACCTTAAACCACCAGTACTTCCTAAACTTGTGCCTGTTAAAGAGCCACGATTTTAGGAAATGTATGGGCCACTACAGGAGCGCCCAAATTCATCCGATTTTTTAGCGACCCGCTATGCACCACCAGTTCTTTTTTTTTTCTTTCTTTTTTTTCACTAGCTACCTACCTACCCTTATATATTATGGTGACTTCCCTTTTTTATCTTCTGCACTAGACAAACCACAAACCGTACCTTAAACCACCAGTACTTCCTAAAGTTGTGCCCGTTAACGAGCCACGATTTTAGGAAATGTATGGGCCACTACAGGAGCGCCCAAATTCATCCGACTAGAAACGTTTCTTCTCTATTTGTTTCCGCGGCCGATAGTTGGGCCACATACTGCAAACCCTACCTTAATTTAGCGACGGGTTGCGACTATCTGAGGGGATAGGTAGCCTGGGGGGATAGGTAGGCTGGGATGCACCACCATTTCTTTTCTTCTGGAAGCGCGTATTTTTCATTTTTTTGCCTCCTCCTTGTGGCTGGTGTTGGCTGTGTTCATTTTTTTCTGAAGAAATTGGCTCCCCTGTGCATTGACCTGTGTGCCACCAGTTCGTTATAATTTTGTTTTTCTCTCCTCTTTTTTTTTTATAAATAAAACTGATCCTCGCAGAAGTCTTGGCAAACCGACTCAGCACCGTTACAAGAAGCTGTTTTCATCTAGACCAGACGGGCTTCATACCGGGCAGGTTCATACTGGACAATGTAGTCACACTGCTGGAAACTGTCAGGTACATGGCAGACCGCCGTTCATCCTCTTCTTTGACTTCTAGAAGGCCTACGACCAAGTCAACTGGGCCTTCCGACAACAATGCATGGAAAAAATGGGGGTAGGACCGGTCTTCAGACGATGGGTGAGGTGTTTTCACACTAATATAGAAAGACTTCGTTATACCATACCTGGCAACGTTTTAGAAAAATTATTTGAAAACTGCTTTACAACGACGCGCATGGCCGGGTGCAGGTCAATGGATTCCTGTCCCAGCCTTATAGGATGACAGGATCCATCCGTCAGGGCGACCCTCTCGCAGCACCGTTGTTTCTTTTCACGATGGAGGCTATTGCATCCTTTCTGCGCAAGTACCCCTCCATACAGTGGTTAGTGGCTGATCAGGACACCCCGCAGCATCAAGTCCATGTACCTGTCACGCTGCTTTTCGCGGATGACCTGCCCGTCCTCATACGGGCTTCCGACTCCTCATTCCAGGCCTTGGTCAGAGCAATGGATGCCTTTCGCATGGCATCGGAAATGAAGATCGACTGACATAAAACGATGGGTTGGTGGCTCACAGACCCCGCTATGCACACACAGGTAAACACCCCGAACGACCTGCAACGGCAGAATGGAAGCCAGCCCCCGGGCCTGCGATACCTTGGCATCAAGATCATGGCCAACGGACGGTCCCACTCTATGGCACCCGAGCTCTTGACCAAGAGATGCTGTGCAAAATGGAGGCCTGGTCACGCACATATACATCTCTGTACGGCAGGGTGCTGGTCCTAAATGCTTCCATATTTTCCATGCTCTGGTATGCGGCTACTGCCTGGTCCCCACCAAATACCGCCACAAGGGACCCCCGCTCGAGGGCTGCCAAATACCTATGGAGAGGCGACCCCTCCACTGAACACTGCATCCCCAAGGTCGCCTGGAAGTACACCATTATAGTGGATAAAAATGCGGGCAGGTTCAGCGTACTTGACCCAGCCTTGCAAGTAAAGGCATTGCAGGTGAAATGGGTAGTGAACATGCTTCTTGATCACCAACTGCCGTGGCACTCGTTGGCCCTCGTCAACATCCAGGCACTGCCCAAATACACCTCACCCCCGAACATGCAGGGACTACTGGATCATGGCCAAGCCTTGGGCGGCACACCACGCACTACGTCCGGCTGCAGAACAGGATTGGAACCATCAGCGCATGGCACACCACCCACCCCCGCCGGTTGCGTGGCCCAGGTAATTGCCAGGAGGTCCTCCGCCAGCCACTATTTTGCAATCAGCATTTGAAAGACCCTGTGGATCGGCCCTGGGCCCTAACTGCGGGGTACACCTGGTGGGGAACATGGTTGGAAACGGGGGTTTGGCAGATGAACCACGTCTCGAACGAAACACACAGACGATGGAAATCGCCGTCCGAACTGCGTGACCAGCTCAAAGGCTGCCACAATCTAGAGGAGAACCTGAATATTATGCTCATCGCCTCGGTCCTTCTCGCTTGGCTAGCGATGCTGAAACAGGCTCAGGTGTGGCGGCGCAGTTGTGTTCACTTTCCACAGAAATAGTTGGCTCGCCTGTGGGTTTGTCACGCAAGCCGAAAGTATGAAAGTGCGTATTTCTGTGACACTGCCGACAGACAGGACCTGCCCAAAGCGCACGCGGTATAAAAATGCAAAAAGAGTTTACCCAGGCATGTTGCTGGCACCTGCACCCCGCACACACCACACACTCATGCACCCACCCACATCCGCATTCAACCCGCAGCCACAGCCACCTACCTGCACCTACACAACATGCACACACGCACACACACACACACACACACACACACACACACACACACACAGACCTGGGGTTTGCACCCAGATACAAGTCTTGAGGTACCAACGAAGAGATGAGCTGACCACATGTAGATGGCATCCCTATCTGGATTTGAGGGGCTGTTGATTTTCATCCTTGTACCGTTTTGTTTCTGGACAATTGAGAGCAAAAAAACAGGTCAAAATTTTTCAACTGCATTGTGAAATGCATGGAAGCTCACCAACTGTTGGGAAAATTCTTAAGAATTGGGGTCTGGGCCGGGCGACGACCACTGTTGATAAATCTGGCCTCCTAATGATCAGAGGCCCACCCGAGGCCGACGTGGGAACAGGTACTGTGGAAGGGTCGACAACAAAAGAATCCTTGTCCGACCTCTCTGCGCAAGCAAAACATTTCGAATGTTACAAAAAGACAACTGCATAAACAATCAGTCATATTGCCACGCCAACAGTGGCAATTGCTGTTGAGATCTACACTTCAATGGACCCCTAATGACAAAAACTTTTGCGACTGGTTCACTGATCACTCACAATATCAGCTGCACAGGACGTCTATGTATTTATTATGCAAGGGTCAAAACACAACCAATTGCTACATCTTTTTTTTTTTTTTTTTTTTTTTTTTTTTAATAACAAAAGTTACAAAACACAGCTCCCTCCAGTGCTAGCGATGCTGATAAAACACACACCGCTAGCACCTGCGGACAGGCTCCATCTATTGGTGGGGAGCATCACCTGCTGGAAAGCGGGTCCAGCGTCCCATTATGAGAATGATACATGTGTAATACATTAGGAAGAATGTAGGAGGATCCTGCCAGCATTGATTGCCCTAGGCACCAGGGGATTGACTGAGCAGGGGGGAGCCTTCTTCACCCTGGTTCCGCCGCCAGATTCCTGCTGTTACATAATGGCTCTCCCTTCCACACAATACAGCAATTCTTTTCTCCATCTAAAAGCACAATTCCATGGCCATAATTTCATAGAAAAGACGCTCAGAGAGTGCATCAGTATCTATATCTCATTGAAAAAAAAAAAGAAAAAAAAAGAAAAAAGAAATATGAGACGGAGAAGAGGCAACGATGAGCTCTTGCTTTGTCACTCCAATTCCCAATTCTCTCTCATTGTGCTGCTGCTACCCACACACATTCATTCGCAAGAGCACATAACCAAGGTCTTCTTTCGTCATATTCCGGCCATTCCACGTCCCCTTTGTTTCTGTTACACCATCAGCAGATCCTCTCTACAAGGAACCTTCACGATGACATCGCCAGGAAAAAAACTCCTACAGGCATCAATCAAAACTTCCCGCCGAACACCATGATACTATATTGAATCAGAAGCAGATCAATGCAAAAGGTGCCTCTGAGAAAGAAAAGCTGTATTGTGTGTATGTAGCAATTGGTCAGAAGCGTTCGACCGTAGCACAATTAGTGAAAGTTCTTTCAGAAGCAGGTCTGACTGCCGACAAATGCAATCTCCCAGCTGCGCTCTATGGTACGCATGTCAGCATCCAAACTTCCCCGCAAAAGCCACGTTCTTCTGCTCACAATCTAGAATCCTACTCATACATGTGCTCACAATCCAATAACCCAGGATGCACACACACACACACACACACACACACACACACACACACACACACACACACACACACACACACACACACACATGTGCGCGCAGCACACACATGCACACCCACACAAGCACCCACACCCACACACACACACACACATGTGCGTGCAGCACACACATGCATGCATATATCCAAGCCTCTCATCAGACTACGGACTTGGAGGTACAGACTAACTACCGTCCTTACCCGAATAGAACGCCCGGTGATTATCGCTGCATCTGGACTGAAAAAAGTGCCCCAAATAAAGCGATAATAACCGGGCGTTCTATTCGGGTGAAGACGGTAGTTTTAAATAACATTATAATACAAAAAAAGATGGAGTAGCCACGGAAGTACTCAGGAAAATTGGAACAGCAAAGGTAGCACTATTCAAGAACGAGAAAGAATCCCTGGCTTGACCACGGGATCCTAACGTGGCATCTATACCCTGGAGCAGGCAAATTGCTTTCACCCTATTCCACACCCAATGAGATGTACACGATTACCCTCCTGCGCACGTCGCGCGCAAGTAGTATTGCTTCCAATGCGCTAAGGTCTTGTTCCAAACATCGTCGTCTACTCTAGCAAAATCTAATCCTCCTCTCTTCGGCGATTCAATATGGATGGATGGATGGATGGACACATGGACACGACGAAGCGAGGAAACTCAATTCTTCTTGCGCCTTTTTGGTTTCTTTCCAGCATTCTGATCCTCTTCCTCAGCTGCCGATGACGCCGCTGCCTTCCTAAGAACTCGTGCTCTTGCCTTGAGAAACTCCTCTTCTGTGGGCTCCTCATCACCCGCCTCCCTCCTCCCCCTCTTGCTCAACGCACCCCCACCATTCCGGTCATTCGGCCCCTTTCCCTTACCTTTCCTCCCTGGACCAGCAGCTCCATACTTCTTCTCCAGCAACTCCAAGAGTGACTTCTCCCTGTCTTTCCCCCGACTCTGAATCATGGCAACTAGGGCTCCCGAATCTTCCTCCTCCTCCTTCGCCTTCACCTTACCCTTTGCGCGGCCCTTCTTCGATGCCTCCGCAGCACCCAGGGGATCCTTAGGAGGCGGTTTCTTGGCCACCTTCTTCGCCCATCGCTGATACCGCGGGTAGGATTTCAATTCCCCTGCTGCAATCGCTGCATCTATAATCTCCTTGAACCTGTGGGAATCCACCTCTTCTGTCGAGCATATGATGTACAGGAAGGCCTTCTCCATGTCCCCATCGAACCTCGCGTAACACCCCTTAACCTCGGCGGCCTCTTCATCCGATCCCCGGAACGACCTCTCAAACGCAACAATGTCATCTTCCGTTACCTTGCGGTACACTGTACGGTAGTACTCGTACAGGTTGCTGAACTTCTCCCCAGAGAGCTCGGCATCATCAGTACTCCCTGTCTCGTCATAAATTTTCCTCTTCTCGTCGTCCCCGAGGATTGAGAACACTTTCTGGAGCGTTTGGAAGTTCTGCTTTGCGCTCTCGTCGCCCGGATTCTTGTCAGGATGCAGCTGCAATGCCATGCGGTGGTACTGCTTCCTGATCTGCGCCAGAGTCGCTGTCTTATCCACACCCAAAACCTCATAGAGGCTCTTGCCGGCAAAAAAATGGTCCTTGCAAGCTCCCCCTGTGCTTTCCTCCTGTCTCACTTCCTCGTCCTCTGCTTTCGCTCGCTCATCTTCATCTCTCCTCTTTCTTCTGCTGCTGCTCTTTCCCTTCTTGCTGCGACCACCTCCGTTGCTCTCACCATCTTCTTCTTCTTCTCCGCCAGAGTGGACAGAGATATCGTCTGCTTCCTCCGTCTCCACTCCCTCTACATCTTTCTTCCTTCGGCCGCTCTTCACGTTCCTTCTCCTCTCTCCGTTGGCAAGCGCTTTCCCCTTCGGCATTGTGCTCGCACCTGTGACAGCTTGCTTTCCTAATCTAGTAAGCCTAGACTAGTCAGGCAAGGCCAGAATGTCAAGGCAAGGCACTGCAAGGCAAGGCAAGGCAAGGCAAGCAACGGCAAATTACTCTGCAAAATCGGGAAAAATCTAGGAGAAATATGAAAAAAAAAATAGTACATATAATATACTTCCAACTGCCAGAGGTGCTGCAAAGAGAAGAGAGAGGGATAGACAAAGACCATAATGGGTCAATTATGATATATTTTTTTGGATCTTGCACAGCGGAAGACAAGGAATGCCAGTCAGAAAAGCTCAGGTTCTATCAAGCAGAACAACATACAACCATAGTCCTCCCTCCTCCTTCTCCTACTACTTACTACTCCTACTCCTCCCTCGTCCCTCAACCCTCCTCTCCTCCTCTCTCCTCTCCCCTTCCCTCATCTTCTCCTCCACTCCACCTCCCCCCTCCTCCTCCCTCGTCTGCTCCTACCTCCTCTCTTCTTCCGCTCCTCCCTCCTCCTCCTCCGTCCTCTCCTCCTCTCCTGCACCCTCCTCCCCTCCACCCTCTTCTCATCATCCCTCCTCTCCTCTTCACCTCCTCGCTTCCCTCCTTCTGTACCCTGAGGATAGTACCTAATGACAATCAACTCGTGAAAAAAAAATAAAAATCAACTCATGTCACCTAAACCCCTTCTTTTCCCTGTGTAAAGATACGCAACACATACAAAGAGGACAGCATATATATATATTGTCACATTGTGAATATGCATATATATATATATATATATATATTTTGGCTGTGACAGACCTTTCCTTGTTTCGTGCATGTTTTGCTGGCTTGTGATGGGGTGTGAACCGACAGTCTGTAGAGTTTTCCATCTGGTGTGGGTGAGTGATAGTCTACTTTGATTTTGGTTAAGGTAGATTATCATTTACAGTGTAATCAGTGAGGGGATTCTGCAGA